TGACGTATACTTTGCCATTGTAGTTTTTCGTTTGAGGAAATAAATACTCTGCCAAGAGTTAAATTAGAAAAAAACAGTAATGGCAGTTACCTCGAAACACTCAAATCATGTGACGTGTGAAGCAGTGAACTTGTTGAGGTGTTGATTGTCACTGTCTCTCTCTCTGTGTGTCTCCTGAGCTCAGCTTCATATTTAACACATTCACACTAGAAAGATGTTTCTCTGACTCTTGGCTAAAAAAAGAAAAAAAGCTAATAAACATTTCTCTAAAACGTGGATTTTCTTTGAGTTGTGTGTTTGTGTGTCCTCCTTCAATGCTGGGTAGAAAGTACAGTTCAGATCGGAATGTGAACCTGAATGTAATAATTAGATATTTAGGCATGATGATGATTTGTGTGTTACTGTCTGTGTCGTTTTATTAAACTCGTATCGAACTGTTGTGTTGTGAGCGTAAGAATCAGACCTGGGTCACTTTTGAAAGACGGTATAAACAGGAAATGAAAAATCCGTATTCCCGGCTGGTTTGTCCTCACCTGCACCTTCGCTCAGCTAGTCAGGCAGGACATGTGACACTTTTCAGAGAGGTCACAGGGAAAGTTCAGGGGCTGCAGGATGTGGAGGGACTGCAGGGACCCTCCACATCCTCATTAGCTGCTGCTGCTCTGAGCCAGCTCTTGGCAATCGGGACAGGTGTAAATCATCTCATGTGCATTCTGGCCCACCCAGACCGCCGTCCCGTTGGCGTCAGACTCTTGGGCCTTAAGAGAGCGATGCACCGTGGCACAGTAGCTGCTGCTCTCACACGGGGACGGAAGCAGAAGAGAAATAAATGAAGACAAGACAAATAACTGGAGCGTGAGGCAGGGGAGGAAGGGGCCGCTCGACTCGGAGCGGGTGGGGAACATGAGGAGGGTTTCATGAATGATGGCGATGATGATGATGATGATGATGGTGATAAATAAGGGAGATTGAACTGGTCGACTCACCAAGCTAGGTATATCATAGACACTATGAATATGAGGAGCACAAACGCTCCAGCTGCTACACCGTACACCCACATCTTCAGCTTCCCATCTGTGGAGGAGGAGGCTCGTCAGTTTCTCTCTTTACTCGTCAACATGGAACCAACAACCAGGAAAAACTCAAACAATCATTTCTGTGAGAACATCAACAAACTCCGACTGAAAACCTTCTCGAGGAAAACCTTCGCCATCGGGAGCAGAGAGCAGTAAATGGACATTTTTTTAAGAAGGTACCTAGTATTTATTTATTTACTGTAAATACTTTTACACATTAAATTGTCAAGTTTTTCCACAACATAAGTTTTGTTTCCCAGAACCGTCGGTACTTAAGATATAATTTATTTCTCCTGTCCACTTGATTCTCTCTTGTTTTCCACTTTCTTTGTTTTCTTCCAGAACCAATAACAATCAATGTTTTACACAAAATACATTTCACTGTAAATCATAAGCTGTGTTATAAACTATCACCTTATCCTCTCAAAAGGCAACAACACGATTTAAATCCTCCTATAATTTCATCTCTAGCATCAAACGTGCTGCAAAAAAACAGAAATGACAAGAGATAAACGATGCGAGTGTTTGTGGAAGTGTTTGTTCCTGACAGACGTTAACTCAATCTGTTCTGCCCTCTCGCATCCTAACTGCTCATTTTGCTGCCACGCACCATCAGTCACAACTCGCAGCTCTCACATGTTAATGCAGCAGCAGTTCAGAGGAGGCGGCGACGTTTCTTCATACATGCGTTTGTGAAAACATGCCTGATGCACAAACGCACAATTTTTATTTCATGCACAGGCGAGAGAACAGGACAGTTAAACCTGAAGTTAATTAAACTCCTGTCAACACTAATTCTGCCTGAAAGCATATAAACCACATTCTGCTGTTGACACGTAGAAACCTCGGGGGTTTATGTCTTAATGTCACTTGGAGGATTACATGCCGCTGTGCAGGTTGAGAAAATTCTACAAACTCTGGGTTTTTCTAAAACCTTTTCATTTGAGATAAACTTTAACAAGACAGACTGGACACTCAAATAATACAGAGGCTGTTTTTCTTATCCACAAGTTCAAGTGGGAATATTTGGAATAAAGTTCCTGACTTTAAACTTGTACAGAAACCTGATTTAACTTTAGAAAGTGTGTGTGATGGTTTATTGACCAAAGCACTCGTTGTTGTTAAGACTATTTCCCAAAGAAGTAATTCTTACTAACTTTTAGTTTGTTTATTTCTTCTTTTTCTCTTAATTCGGACTTGACAACTGTAAAATAGCTCCTGACGAGGATATTGAAGCAGGGTTAGTTAAAATATAAGAGTTAAGAGACTTAAGTTGACTGCAACAAAACATCTTCAACAACTCTTTACATTTGGAAACCTTTGTGGATTTGAACTAATGGTCTCACCTGGTCCGTAGGGCTGCAGGTACCAGGTCCGTCCCGTGCGTCCGGGCTGGGTGGCGCTGGGCAGGGTGGGGTTAATGGCACGGCTGGTCTTCACATCGCCCTTCTTGTCCCCCGCTGTGGGGATCTCCAGGACTGGGATGGGGGCGCACTGGTCCAGCTGCCCGGTGGACGACAGCACCTCTGTGAAGCCCTCCTCGCACATACAGATGCCAGCCTGCAGGGGGAAGCACAGAACCATGTGTGACTTGAAGTGCAGAAGGCAGGGCCTGGATGGAAGGGAGGGGGGGGGGCTGTTAGGAGAAGTTGTGGATGTTTGTACAGGAGGGTGGCGTCCTGTTAATGTTTGGTCACACGTTCCACCTCAGGTCCGTCCTCAGCGGCCGTGTGTTCTGTTGACACGTCTCTTATCTCATCCTGTTGGCCTCTTTCCCACAAACTACCTCAAATATTTGTTCCCAAATTCAGCGACAAAAACACAATGAACCTTTGCTTATTTGTCTTTATTACTTGGTGCTGAACAGTCACTTGAAATCTCTCCGGGAACAACTCTCATAAATCGAATCTGCAGCTCCAGCTGGGAGGATCCAATGCCTTGCTCAAGAGCATGCTAACAGTAATGAGGCAAAGGTTGCTCGTGGACTTATCTACCTCACAGTTAACAGTTTACTGGGTACAATAAACTGGCAACTGAGAGCGCTGCTGTATTACACTGCATTACTTGTAGCCAGGTGTACCTAATAAACTGCCAGCCGAGCGTGGATTCATCCTCAGATTTAACAGTGACGTCAAAGGTCTGAAAGTCGCTTCTCATCAGATCATCCCGACCGGCTTATTCTGTGTTTACCTCGTGTGTCATTGCAAAAGTCCCGCGCGGCCGATAACCAGCCGCTGCTGCTGAATCCAAATTTACTTTGAAAAAACAAAAATGCTTTTTTTTACAATTGATAAACCTTGAGATGTGCCACCTGCTGCGTGTACTGGCCCAAAAAATAAGTATTTACCTGGTGTTGATGCAGGACATTTGAGTGACACTGCAGAGAAACAGGTTTCACATCTCCGAGCTGCCGTCATTTCATTCAAATTCAATTCTGGCAACTGTGTGTCACAGTGAGTCCGGAGGCTGCCACTCATCCAGGGGACCTGCGCTCTCAGGCTTATGTTTTTTTTATTGTCCTTTTCTGTTTATTGAGTTTTCATGATGTGTTTTCGTTCCCCAATTCTGATTTCTCTCTGCAGTATTTTCTTTTTTTTGTTCTTTTAAATGGGTGATATGAGAACAAAGAGACGCTTACCTCGCTGCAGAAAGACTTGGGCATGAGACAGAGAGGGTCACAGGAGCTGTTGGTCATCGGAGGGTTCATGGGAGGACAACCTCCTGCGGGGGGAAAAGACAATAAAGCCAGATTGGTCTCATGTTTTTTAAAGGAGCACAATGAACATTATCATCTGTGTGTCTCTGCAGACCCACTGCTCTCACAGTGCTGCTGTTACTTTAAAACGAGACAACCAACATTTTCATATTTAATCGTCCGTCATTATTTTACATTTGCGTTTCTTTCTCTTTCTTTTGATCTATTCTGGTCCTGTTTTTTAATGTGCTATATAAATACATCTGACTGATTAACACACAGTACTGTATTCCTCTGTTCTTGCATTAACACCTGTACCTATGAGTCCATGTGGCTGAGGTTTATTTTTAAAACACGTGTTCATGTTTAATGCAGTGATTATTCACTGAACAGGCTCCTGTCGCCCACAACCTTTGCTTCTCGTTGCGACAAGTCTCTTGTTTTTCAGAGTAGTGTGTTATATTTCTATTTTATATTATGTGTAAATAATACCACCTACATAAAACTACAGAAAAGGTTTAGACTTTCTGTCGAGCTGCAGAAACCTCTCACTTTCTCACTGTAAATATAAATGAAGCAACACTGTGAATTATCAAAAGATCATAACACTGTTTATTTTATCAGCTTGTCCCCAGTTTTGCAGCTTGTCGAGAGGATTTGATTCAGTCTTGAAGGCTGGTTAGAGCTGAAATTATTAGTTCTGTAATAGATTGAACATTAATCTACAATTATAATGATAAATTATAATATATGTAACTATAATTAGTCATTTAAGCCACTTCTCTTTTGTCTTCTATAGTATTAAACATAATTTGTGTCTGTGTCATTGGTCAGACAAGAATGTTAAGGTGTAAACTTGGGCTTTGGAAAGATTGAACGGTCGTTTCTTAAATTTACTTCAAAGAAATAACACAATATATATTGAATATGATCGTCCTGTTGATCGTTTTAACATAATACTGTGTAGATTTCTTTTCTCCACATTGATCACCTTTCGTCCTACCAGATTTATTTCATGAACCAAACCAAAGTTTGTGAAGCTCTGACAGAAAAGCCCCGCGAGTGTAAAATGCAAACTCCATCACAAGAGTTCCTCACCGGTGACGCTGAGTCCGTCGGAGCGCTGACACCAGATAAGCGGGCGGGTGGAGTTTGGACGAATGCTGCTGAACCACTTGTACTCGTAACATTCGCCCCCTGAAAGCAAAATGATAAAACAATCAACACCTATCGAGACTGTAGAGCGGGAATCTGCAGTAATGACCATTAATCACATGAATGGTGGATTAATAAAGCAGCTGCTTATTTATGGTTTTATAATAGGCCGCTGTCACATAACATCACTATCAGTGTGTCTTCACAGACGGGTCCACTTCTATGTTTTAATCTTCGGTAAGAGCTTCGCTCAATGACTTTCTATCAATGCTATTATGACTTTATCAATATTTCCATCAGCGCAGTAAATGACCATATTTCCCTGTGGAGTCCTGTGTAACCAATCATCAGTCCAGCCCATTCTCCGAGCGTAAATTAACAATTTAACCTTGAACAAAGGACGGCTCTCTTCTCCACAGGCCTGGGTACTGTATCGCTGCTCCACTTGATGGCACAGCTCTATCTGCAGCTTTCACGGGACGATTTGTCTGCGGCTGAGACAACTTCTCCCTTTATGTTCTCATTTCTTACCCTTTCCTCTCTGAGATACAGCTGAGGTCGTTTTTCAGACGTGTTATCATTGAATCACTCACTTCGGCCTGGACTTCCCACCATCTTTTACCAGCAGATTGGAGTTTTACTGCTGTAGATACACTTCCACTACCGTGGAAAAGCAGAAATAATGTAAAAAAGAATCACAGGTTTTTATCCCCTGGCATATGATGCAGAGATGAGCGCGTCCATCCATCCTCCCCGTCTGTGATCTCATTTCCAGAGCAGAACCCATAAAACCATTTTGATTTTTTAGTTTTGTTTATCGAAGCGGTGCCTTCTTGATATTTTGGGTTTGCCGGGGGACATGTCTCTCCTGATGACTCATGTTAAACATAACAGACGGTCTCTGTAAAAGCTAAAAGAGGAAAAGTAGATTTTTTTTCTTGCCTGTTAACTGAGAAAATGTCATTATGCAGCACTTCTACAACAAAATGGTTTACACTGAGTCTGTCACGCACACTAACACAGCAGAGGTCTGCACATCATCAATGTCTGGATCAACTAGACACGGACAAGCCAGGGATCAGATGACCCCTTCTACAACTTAGGCTCGCTAGTTAGCGGAGCTTCAAACAACATGAGTCCGTCTTTTTCTCCGCTCATCCCAACCGGTCGAGGCAGACATCGCTCTCACTGAGTCTGGTTCGAGAGGTTTCTTCTTCCAGTAATGACGTTGTTCACCTTTTATTTTTGTTCATTTGTTTTTACGATCACATTTTCTATGAAGCACGTTTTAACCTTGTTTAGATAAGTGCTCTGCAAACAAAGTTCTTATAATTATGTCAGCAAACGTTAAATGTCAGTGTATTAAGTTGTTGAACATGGTAAAGTTTATAGCTACTTGTTTCATTGTCTTTGTGTCCGCCTGCTTCCACACAGAGGTGGTGAACATTGTCTTCCCCGTTTTACATTTACGAATACATTTCTTATTTAATAAATCTCTTCAAGTAAAACTTAATGAAAGTTAAATACATCGCCTGGTCCAGTCCCTCGTTTTATGTTAATTTAGTAATTTGTGTTTAAAGAAACTTACAGCATTATATCTCTGTTTGAAAAATCATATTAATTAACTTGGGTCCCCATTCTATAGATGATAAGATATACTAGTACTTCATATGATGTACCTCTACATGTGATCTGTGTACCACTGTTGACAATACTGCATTTTGCTGGTTAGTTATGATAAAGGGGCATATCAAGACATTAAACCTGCATTAGTTGATTTTGTTTTGTCTCATTGGCAGCAGTTTTATTTTACGTGTGACTGGGTGAACCTGCTCCTCCAGCTCGGCTGTGGTCTCATCACATTCTGATTATAGTGCAGCTTGAAAACCTCTGGCAGTTTCAAACGTCCACAGCTTTTACATTTCTTTCAGAAGTCAGTCAGTTCTGTGTGCAGAACAAATTCTAGTGATATCAGTCTGTGTGCTGCTGTTTTAATTCTCCCATTCTGTGAGTGTACTGTAGATTCAAAGCACGGTAAGAATCATTATACAGTAAAGTGTGCAACTGGGACACAGATTTGGTTTTGTTTTTCTCAAGCGAGCCTCACATCAAACCGTTCCCTCCCTCCGTCCCCCATCTCTTTTTCTCCGTCGCCGCCCTCCCCCTTCCCCTGCCTCCGCTCTCTCGTCTTCCTCCTCCTTTGCTGGTCTTGGCCGGGCCGCTCCTCCCCCCTGTGCCTTGAGTGATGCTGTGGAACCAGGTCAGGCTGGTGGAGACGGCTCTGAGGCTGTGTACAGTACAGTAGAGCCAGGGAGGGAGGAGAGGAGGAGTGGGAGGCGAGGGAGCGAGGAGGGGATGGGAGGGGGCGGCTGCTCCACAGACTCAGCCTATGGCTACGATGTGTGTTGAGCTTTGGTGGTGGTGGTGGTGATTCACAACCCACACTGCACCTAATGGGTGATTAGCTCGCCTTGGGAGCTGCAGAGATCACAACAGTAAATGAGCGCGTGGGATTCTTCCATTTGGAGACTTCAATCGAGAAATCCCATCAGGGGAAGCACCAATTGACCCGGAGAGAAACACGGAGTGATGGCAGCACTTCACTTCCTCTCAGTCATGTTGTGGTCTGGGTACCAAGGTGGCTCAGTTGTTTGTGCTGTCACCTCGAAGCAAGAAAAATCTTTATCTGATTCCTGTCGCCAATCCCTCTCCCTCTACAATCTCAGCACGTCTTTTTCTCTGTGGGTTCCAGTTTGCTCTGACAGTCCTAATGTGCCAGCTCAGATGGATAGAAGGCTAAACAGCCTGCAGGTACAACCCTGAATGTGAGTGTCCGTCTGTGTTAGTGCTCTGACGCACTGACGAGCGGTCCGTCGTGTTTCCCCGTCCAGAACAAACCGAGACTGACCTCACTTCTCCATCATGGAGCTGATTAACAATTCTTAGGGAATAAAATTCAAATCAATCAAAGTTTGGAGCCGCCATCTCATTTGCATGTAATTTTCTCAGGAAGTTTTCATTCTGTTAACTCGTCAAACTCTCCGACTGTGAGGAAGTTGAGGTTGTCACTCACCGCTGCAGGGCTGAGACTCCCACGCCTGGTCCGGACACAGCTGCAGGTTCTCAGGCTCCTGGGCCAAAACGGCCCGAGAGCGAACCTGAACCGAGCCAAAGTCCACTCCTGCATCTTTGACGCAGATGCTCACACATGAGCTCCAGTCTGACCACTCCATCAGGTAACATTCACCTGCAGCAGAGAGGAGACAGATTGTGAATGTGGGGAGTTTTACACCGGAGAGCCCTTCACTGAATATCTGTGGCTCTGGTAACGTCTCAACAGAAAGACATTACATTCATTATACTTGTCACAGAACGGTAAGGAACGTCTTCTCAAGTCAAAGGTTCAGCGTGAGACTGAAATGATTCGTCAAACCACCGATGATCGTCAAAAGAAAAACACGCTCGAAATTAATTTCATAATTGATGAATTGTTTCCATTACTTTTTCAACCAGCTAATTAAAATTGTAATTGGAAGACTAATGAATATTTAAATAACTGTTAGTTGCAGTTCTGTTTAACAGAAATCCTATTATGGAGAAGTTATTTTATACAAATCTTAATTCAAATTAATATTTTACATCCTACAAAACAAAACAACATATTTAACAATAACACATTCTTTTCTCTGTGAAAATCAATTTTAAAAAGGTGATTACATAATTGAAAAGGTTGCAAAAGAAGAGTCCGTTGATAAAATTAAAAACTTTCACTCTGCGACTGTTACACACAGAGTTTTTACTCCCAACCACAGGATCAGTATCACCAGGCAGACGATTGATTAACAGGAGAATTTATTTAGCATCGTCTAAATAAAGAAGGTAGGGATCAAAACAGCAGACACATTACACAGTAAACTTCACTCTGTCATCTTTTCAGTGCTCAGTCTGGAATATCTTTAAAAAACTGGCCAATGACCTGTAAAACAAAACAGCTACATCTGTCCCCGAGTCATTTCACAAATCTTTTATTTCCTGTAAGTCGGGGTGCAGCCTCAGAGCCCCAGGCAGGGCAGCACTTCTGGCTCTGGAGTCTAAAGACTAAAAGGTGTCCAGCTTTTTGCCGCCAGGTTCCCTTCTGCTGTGCAAAGACCTGCCTGAGAAGCTCTGGCTGATGGGAATAGTTTTATCTCTGATTTCACATCTAGATCTACTAGCTTGGATGTATTTTATTTCATTTTCACTGATATTTTATTTCATCCTCCATCTCTTGTTCTTCCTACTTGTTTGTTTTTTTGCAGTTCAATGCAGATGGGGCTGAGCCGGAAGCAGAGATTTCGAGTTTTTATTTTAATTGGTTTTTATTTTATGTTTGATTTATCAGTCGATCTTCGTTCAGACCCTCATGTTCGATCAAGAGTTCTGTGTCGTGACCGAAAGAATGAGATCACAGATACAAGCAGCTGAAATGAGTTTCCTCTACACTGTAAAACCTAACAGTACATCTTAATAAATGAAGTAAGTTACAGTAACTTAATTTACAAAAAAAGTTGAGGCCACTGTTTATCAATAATTTAACATAACTCAAAAGTAAATAATTGAAGTAATAACTTAGTTACTTTGAGTGCGATTACATTTTTAGATCATTTTAAGTACTGGTGACATAATTCAATTTGTTTCATTGACTAGTCT